CAAAACCCTTCAGATTCACATGAACTGCCAATCAGAATAGCAATTTGCAAGTCTTAGTTTAATGTTCTCCCTGACTAGGTAAGTGATCAGGGAAATAACTGAAAGTCTGTAAAACGGAGGAGTACAATATTATATGACAACACATCGGTAATAGTTTCAAATTACAAGCAAAATTGGACAGGGAATAAGAAAATAATACTTTAAAGTCTTCTCCCTTTTTCCCCAAACACACACACAATTTCCTCTAGAAGAAAACGCGAGAGAAATAAACACATTGTTCGCCCTTTCTCGGAGGTATATCAAATGCTGATTAATTCTAAACTTTCCGCACTGTAATGTGACCGTTGGAACAAAACTTGGACTGCATGAAAGTGGCCGTGTTGAAAGAATTATAGCCAAGGACATAACTGTAATGAAGTATTATCACAGACATACAATATTATCGAAATATCGAACTCTACACATGTCAGCGGTCACCCGGCGTGATTAGAGGCAGGCCTGGGTTTGGGTTGGGGTAACAGCAGGCAGAGGGAGGAAAAGAACTGCCACAGGATGGGGTGCCTTGGCCCCTCCATCTCCATGGTGGACCCTGAGGAAAGAGCAAGGAGCTGGATGTCCCACAGTCAGACGCACAAGGAGGAGGAGGAAAAGGAGGTTAGTGGTCCCCTGGCCACTACCTCTTTGAAAATCTGCTCCCTCCTGGTAAATCCCTGTGTTATTTCTCCAGACCTTCACATTTACCTTCGGGAATAGAGGAGAAAACACAATCAGCCCCCCGCACATGACCACTTCCCCATTGCTTGTGTGTCCCTGGACTCCACAGCCCATTCCTTTCTCCGGCTGCTGCCACCAACCCAAGCAAGGTGCGTAGAGGTCCTAGGCCTGGCCACCCACTCTCCACCCTTTGTCTTCTCCTAGAAGGTCTGCCCACAGATTACTTCTTCATCCTTTGCCCCATCATCTTACTAGGAAGAACTTGTTTGCTGTGAGGGTGGTGAGAGCCTGGCCCAGGTTGCCCAGAGAAGCTGTGGCTGCCCCATCCCTGGAGGGTTCAAGGACAGGTTGGAGGGGGCTTGGAGCAACCTGGTGTGGTGGGAGGTGTCCCTGCCCAGGGCAGGGGGGGCCATTGGGGGGGCTTTAAGGTCCTTTCCAACCCAAACCATTCTATGATCTTCATCCTCACCCCATCCACCTGGTGGCTTCCCCCTGCAAGAATTTGTTTACCAGTCAAGGTGCACCCAGCAAGCGGGAATACCCCAGCCACGGCCAACATCTCAAGAGAAGGCAGGGGCTGCCAACAGATTTCAGCCCTTTTGAACTGCAGCCTTCTCCATCGACCCCCTCTGACCCTTATTTGAGGTGAACCAAGGACAAGACAAGCCTCTGCTGCTGGTGTGGCTGGAAAGAAAAGCATGACAGGTTTTGAACCCTGCAGAAACTCAGAAAAATTCCCACCTCCCTGTGCTCCTCAATGTAAACTCTGCTCCTGGACCCATATTGGCTTTGTCATGGCTTCTGTTCTCGTGGCACGGGGAGCTGGGGTTGGTGGGGAAAGGTGCCGGTGGCCACGTTTTCCCTATGCCGTGGAACCCAGCACAGCCCTTAATTAATGGGCACAAAACTGAAGTTATCATAATTTAGGCCCAGCAAAGAGATCTACTTTGTAGCAGCAATAAGGATGCAAAAGCCCCCCCAAAACCTCCACAATACACAGAAATCGCCTTTAAAGAAACTTGCAGTCATCATGGCAGACACTAAATGAATTATTTCTTTCATTTCTTGTCTCACCCCAGCTTCCTCCCACTTGGACACACATGTTAGGCATTCGTTTAACCTCCAGCATAGCTCTGCCGGCCCTGGTGCTCTATCTGCCCTCCCCATCACGAGGCTCCACTCCACTACATTTTTGCCATGTAAAAAGAGTGACATCATTTTCTCCTTAAAGCGATGTCTCTGTAGGAACCCTCTGGTGATCCCCATCCCATGCCAGGGTCCCTGTGCTCCCCCAGCCCCTTCTGAACCTCCCCTTGTTCCATCCCCAGCCTCCCCTTCCCCATCCATAGCTCCTGCCGACAGCCTGCTCCTGCCCTGTGCTTCCTGGGAAGCGTTTTAGTTCCCGCACCCAGCCAAGGAATATGTTATGACAGCAGAGTTTTAAAGGAAAGCCTTTTTGGGTTGTTGTGTCATGCACTTTATCCATTCCATTTTTTCATCTGGTGGTTTTCCTTTCTTGTTCGAGTGCATTCTTCATGGCTAAAGCTGTTCCACAGGCAGCCTTGGAAATCAATCCTTTTTTCAGATAACTTTTTTTTCAGCTGATCCACCTCCCTATCTACTTACAAATCCATCAGAGCCCACTTTATCTGGCTACAGTCCTGCATCCTATGCAGGAATATTTCAATGCCATGATATTCACTAGTCTGAAGCTAATCACAGAACTGTTTTTCTTTTTAATTACCTTCTTTACAATCAGGAAATTCAGCTAAGGCAGAGCTTCACTGACTGTGGTGAAACGCAGAGGGGAAAAAAAAAAACCCCTCAAGAAACACACAGGACCTTCATTTGGTGAACAGTTAACTTTTTTTTTCCCTAGGAAAGACTTAATTTTTGATTGTTTAATGGTTTTTTAGATCTAGTAAGCAGCAGTTTCCTGATGTTTTATATGTTCAGAAGAATATGCAATAAAACTAATTAATTATTCTTACAGAGTCTTCCATCACTTTCTGGAATCTTACACTGTGAAGTGCCATCCTTCTGATTTCACTGGAAGAATCTCACCTGCACTTCACTGCCTCCCCTGTTTAGTGTCCATTTGGTCCTCCTTCTCTTCACTAAAAATTGGGTTAAAAAACCTTCGTAAAATTCCTACTCAGTCCCATATCCTGATAATATACACAAGTAACATGTGGCATAAGGTCTAGAAAAAGCTTTTAATTAAAACCAAGTGTTAGAATTGTACTGTCTTTCAGTTTCCTCATGCTTCCTGTCTTTTTTTTTTGTGTGTCCGGTTCACAGCGGAGAAAGTTGTTGAGAGCACAAACTTTGCTTTTAATGGCATCTTGTAAATCCCATGATACATAAATAATTTGTTTCTTTGCTTACTGTAACAGCACTGCTGTGGGTGTGCACATTTGGGATATTAACTGGAGGAATGGGAAATGTTTATACTTTAAGAAGATATGTCTGATTATGCAATTACTGTTGAAGTACAGTTAAATGAATACTATGGGTATTGCTTTTATTTTTTTTCTTCTTTTGCTGAATCAGGTCTTTTGCAACATGGTCTTTGGTTTATCAGAAAGCACAAGACGCTCTTCTCAAGACCAGAAAACACAACGGAACCCCTGAAAGTAGGTTGCATAATCTAATGTGCCATATTTGCCTTCTGATAACCCTCACCAACAACATCTAAAAGTAGTCATTTGGCTTTTAATGACAGCCACTGTTCACCTTATCTCTACAAATTTCCTTCTTGAAAGAGCTGGTCCTCTCGCTGTTTAGATACCACGGCTTCTGCGTGTGCGGGAGGGGTAGAGGGGGTGGAGTTGGCCTTGGTTCAGTTCTGACATAGCGTCTGCAAAGATTTAAACACATCAAAGTGTCAGCCAGGTCGAATGAGCCAGAATCTATTTTGGAGTAATTGGAAGTTTGACTTCCATTTGCCCAAGAACTCCATTTATTTATTTTAGCTTCACTAAAATTCCCTCAGCGTTATAAAATTAATTGCAGTCCTGTTATCTTTCCCTGATTGCACCCCCTCAACGCCAACAATCTCTGAAATGTTTCTTACAAAAATGTCAATCCTAAATACCTGGGGTTTTGTCTGGCTTTTGGGGTGGTTTGTTTTGGTTGTTTTTTGTTTTTTTGTTTTTTTTTTTACAATGAAACAGTGGGAGCATCTTATATGGGACTACCTGCTCTTCCATATTCAAATGGACACGTGCCTATTTCTTCCTCAATATTGGGTAGTAAATGGAAAGCCGGGAGGAAAACCTCTCACAGAAGCCTTTGAACAGACTAAAAAACAAATCACACCTACTGTGTAGTAATTTAAGAAAACCTTCCATAGTAGTTTTTTGATCCTATCATATGTTCTCAGTCCCGTGACATCACCCAAAGACCTTTCCTTCATTAAAAACATCTCAAACTGAGATGATATTTACCTCTGCCCAAATTTGGAGACCATGAGTCTGATGGAGAATTCTTCACCCATTCTTTTCTGCTAGGAAAAAGATTTAAAGCCCAAAGAGCCACTTTAGCAGCATCTCAGCATTTACACCATCCTGCTCAGACACTGCTCGTCTTGCCTTATTCACCCACCGCGTCCTACGCTGTATCAGCACCTCTTTTAAGAACACAGTTGCCCAACAGGATATTTCTGTAAAATCTTTCAGAAGCCAGTGCTACAATCTCTTGATTTCTACAACAGCTTCCTTAACCTCATGGATAAAGAGCTAGTAACTTTTTTAACACTTAATTATCATTTTCAGGATGACCTACTTTTATATTTGTTTTGAAAATAGTTATTTATATCTCAATATCAAGTTTATGCTTCGCCTGGCTTCAAGGTCCCTCATACTCAAGAAAAAATACAACCTTCCAGTCTTCAACCTTTTCAGCTAAAGAAACACCTTAGAAACACCACGCCAATGGTTCAAACTCTAGGGTTTTTTGTAGAAATTCACATACAAAAGCAGAAAACATGAGATACTGCCCTCAAAATCCACTAACTGACGAATAAGCCATCCCCCCCCCCAAAAAAAAAACCCAAGAATAAAAACAAACAATATAAAGTCATAACATTTGCATCTGCACCAAAAGTCTTTTCATATTCCACAAAGTTGAAAACTATGCTTTTGCACTGACTGAAGGATATTTATACACCAGCCTCAATCCTGGTCCCATTAGAGTCACAGGGTCTCTAACAAGCCCATTAATGTGTCATCAGGGCACGAGCAAATAATCCAGAAATAAACATTCATTCTAAAAAAAAAAATTACCTTCTTCTCCAACACGCTCTTCAAGGCCAAGAGTGTATCCACAACAAGAATTAAATGTATAAATGGAAGCCCAAATTTTAATTTTTCTAATGGAAAATTATGAGAAAGCATGGGATGGTATAACTTCTCTAGTCTGGGTCCTTTTTTTGCCCTTTCAAAGGCTCTTCAGGAAAAAAACCAAACCCTTTCTACTCATACAGTAGACAATGTCCCTCTTTAATATTATTCACGTTATTAGAAGCAGACCTAATCTCTCCCACAAGCTGTGCTAAGAATCTCTTTTGGGAAGCAATGACATCTTTGCATTATTAATAGCAGGTTCAATCTGTCTTTCTGTCATAACAGCTTTTGCCAGTGTGAGATTAGGTACAACAAACAGCCTTACGAGTCTCAGCATGTCTTTATTGAGCAGGGTATTGTAACACAGGGCCCTCCTGTGCCCAAGAAAAGTAGCTGAACAGAAACCGTGCCTGCCTGGCATCATCAATCACCAACACGCTATTCTCAACTACACTTAACCACATTTTTTAAAGGAATTCTTTTTGAATCTCAAAGGGAAAGACTGAATAATGAGAGGGCAAACACCTTCATGATTCCTCCTCTTTTTATTCTTTGCTATTTCTTCTAATATCTTCAAGTATCTCTTTCCCTGCCTCTTGCCAGAGAGTCTCTATTTCTCTATATTTTTGCAGAATGTTTTTCAATCTTTTTCCATCTTTCATTTTTCCTTTGAGAGTACCTCTTTGCTGCCCGTTACTCCCACCTATTTTTAATTTCCCATCCGTGCTACAAGAGTGCCTATAACACTACTGAATAGATGGGAGGACTTCTTTAATAGATTTCTAACACCGCAAGGGGCAGGACTGGGAGATTGACATTTTGACCTCTCGTTTACTGCCAGATGAGCTATTGGGTGTTCTGGATACATCGGTTCTCCTTTTCCTGTCAGAGCAGACCATTCTTTTGCAGGTATTATCTCATCAGTCTTTCAGACAAGGGAGCACACTGAGCTGCTCCAGTTTATGAGTGATCATTTGTTTTCCACTTTTGTTCATCTTCTTCATTAAATGAGTTTAAGTGATACAAAAGGGCCAAAATGAAGAGTTTGATGGTGAAGGCAGTGCAAAAGAGAGAACAGGGGAAAAAAAAATAATAAATCTCTGCACTCAACTCTCTTCATTTGATGATCTGAAAGCCTTTTTGGGAAAGGGGCAACAGTTTTTCCTTCTTTCACTTTCAGTCCTCATTTGCACTGCTGGATTCTTCCATGCAAGGCTCAGTTTAAAAGTGGGCTCATGTAGTCACATAATACCAACTAAAATATACAAAAGGGTATTCTGTATTTTCATTAGAAATGTGAAAGAAAAATGATCTTTTCAAAATGTTAAAACATGCTGTTGAGAAGTTTAACAATTTTATATTTTGTTTTGTTTTCAGCTGGTAGCAACTGAAAGGGGGCTTCTCTCTAACAGTGAAAATCCTCCTTTTTCCACAATGGGTGGATTAAATTGTAGATGCAAAGCAAGATGGAAATACTGGTAAAAAAAGTTGATTGAAAAGCATTTTGGCTGAGTGTTTTTTACCACCTGAAATGCTGACTTGAATCTACAAAACATTTCTGGTATTATCCACAATAAGGAGAACTTGTGAGAAGGCTTAGGACAAAGTTCGGAAGAAGCCGAGAAATAAAAGTAGCAGAGAAATAAAAACTAAGAACAGAATAGAACGAAACTTCCTGGAACTGTCTTTTTCTACTCTAAGCCTTATTGCTTCTATTACTCACAGTTTACATAATCTTAGATGTATATTATGTAATTTTATTTTCTTGCTTTTAAGTAGAATTTTATTAATAAGAAATATTAATACGCATTGCTCCAGCAAATCTCAACTATCCACTTCCGTTCTCCTATTTTATTTTTTTTTCTATTTGTAGCTGATATGTCATCTTCGTAAGACTAAGATTTTCGGTTTTAAAAAGCTGAAACTAAGAGGAAATACCCCAAGACATAGTGTCTTTTTTCATATTTTCACATTAGCTTGACAACCAAGGTGACTGAAGAAGTTTTTTGCTTTAGCTCAGGAGCACTGATAAACAAAATCACATGTATCTCACGAGAAAATACCTGGAAACATTGAAAGGATGCTTAAGAGATCAGGGGGAGATTATATTATAAAATAATATTTATACTTTTCACATACCCCAACATAGTCAGAAAATTGTTATGACCAGGTTTCATAGTGAGCCTTTTTTTGGGAGGAATGAATTATTGCGGATCTCAGAGCTATGTGGCTGCTGAAAGACTACCAACCCACCATGGTCCCTCCCTCCAGATGAGTGCTATCAAAAACATGGTAAGACCTTAATATTGAGCTGTAAAACTCGAGGGAGAATATATTCACATGAAGTGATTATCTCTTATGTTTCTGGACATTCTAAAGATACATTACATTCTCCTAATAATACTTGCCTTCTTTTTGATATGATGTTTTGGAAGAACAGCTTGCACTTATAATCAGTACAATTTATCACCTATCCCCAAAGTACCCTGCCGTTGAAATGCCTGACATATATATTAGGTGTTATGGATTTAGCAAAAATTGAATTATAAATTGCCTTGCCAGCTTTTGCCTCTGGAAATAATGAAAAAGTGAGCTAAAGAAAAGTTCTCCTGAAGGATTTATTTTTAGTGGCTATAGAGAAAGAAACAACAAACATGGATTGACCAGATTTTATCATTTTAAGCGCTGAATAACTTGGTCTCAAGAAAAGTTTTCATTCTTTTGATTATTTTTTTTCCCCTAAGAAAAAAGACTGCACTGAGAGTGCTTGAATGTCCCTGAAAATAACTCAATAGAGAAAGGGGGAAAAAAAAGGAAAAGAAAAAAGAAAACACTAACAAAACATTAATTTGTACTCAGTAAGCCCATATGAGAATTTCAAGGTCCCGTGCCCAAAAAGAAGTGGAGTTAAATGTCATCCAAAATACTTTCTTTTTTCTTCTCTGGTAAGTGCTGTCTCTCAGTGAAGGAAATTATTTGCAGTGGCCTTTTGGAGTTTAACATTATCCAACCCCTCAAAATAATAGGGCCTTTAATAAGTTATCTAAATTGGCAGAGCTACGCAGAATGCATTTCTAACAAGTATTTCAGCATCAAATGTGCACAGTTAAACTAAATGTTGATTATAAAGGTAATCAGAAACGCAGTAAGCTTCAGAAAAGTTTCTTCACGAACTCTCATTTTGTCTCTTAAAAAGTTCCTCCACACAGGAAAAAAAAATAGCAACTTGTGTCCATATACAGTTACTTAAAGCAAAGAATTCTGTATGAATATATGAATATAAATATACACAAATATATAGCCTGCAGTCTTTGAGTGAATCTGAGAATAATCTTTCCCTTTACAAGTGAAGTGGAAACTTTGGCTCAATTTGTGTCATTTTTAAAACCATATTAAATGCCTTTGCTTTAAATAACTGATGTTGGAGCATGAGTGCTAATTACCTATTTCTTTGTCTTTGTAGGTTAAATAACACCCAGCATTTTGAGTGCACATGTTTTTAAATAAGCAATAAAAAAAGACAAAAATCTTATCGGAGGGTAGTATGTGTACAAAGAATTTAAAATTTATCTGCCTTCCTTATATTAAATATCCTGTTACTAAATAATGATAAACTTCTGATGTCTTTTTGGTATTCCTGTGCAAAATCTGTATGAATTGTCTTTTTGTAATTAAAGCATTCTACAATGATTGCCAGATTCCAGTCACATGAAATTCTCCCAGAGGTTTGACTGCACAGGTTAATAAAATATAACTGTCTGCACCATGCAGAGAGGAGTGCAGACAAATGGAGTTTATTTGTCCCTAGATCTGGTTGAGAAATACGAATATTATTAATATTCACTCAGTTCAGTGACAAAGTGACTGCCACTTGTTAAGGAGTGATGTAAAGAAACTACCAACACAAAAAGCAAGGAAAGTGGTCACTTCTGAGAAGGCGAATCCTCAACAGCCCCAATGATGAGGATCCTTAACCATCAAGTAAGAAGGCAAGAACGTCCAACATCTCAAGTTAATGAGTCCGATAGAGTGGAAAACAGACACGCAAACGGAAAGACCAAAAGAAATTATTTATCATGAAAGTAAAATCTCCATGGAAAGCAGGGAGTGAGTTTACAGGAGACCCATAAAAACGCCTGCAGAAGTGGAAGGCACAAGTCTTCTTCCTTTTCAAAATTGTAAGTAGCACCAGGATTTGGGGCGGGGGGGAGGAGGGGAAGGGAAAGAAAACTGAAGGAAAGAACACAAAATAGGAGAAAAGAAAAGTTTTCCTAGTAGTTATATTCACATTTTGTTACATTCTTGTTAGAGGGTAAGCTTTTAATGCCTTGCCATTTATTTTTTCTCTTTTGCACGGCTGTGTACCTGATTCATTGGTCACTGTGGGTGACTGAGCTTGAGGACAAAAAAAAAAAAAAAAAGAATTAAAAGCTCTATACAAGAGATCATAACTGACTTGCGTTATAGAAAATACATGTAAGGCTTTACAAGTGGGGGAACATGCTGAAGAAATGTGTTGTCATCATACAGCCACAAAACATCCTGCGGATTAATCCTATGGTGGCCCGGCATGACACCTGCAGTATTTGTGGGCACGAGGTCAAAATATTAGCTGGAGCTAATGATGGGCCCGTTATGACCCTCCTTAGTGCTCATTACTTGGGGGACCTTTTGAAGGTGCTCTGTATCATTCTCTGGCTGACAGGCTCTGCAGAGAAGGTTAGCAACTCCCTCTGAAGCCCCGGTTCCCTCTTGCAACTAACAACCTACTTGGGGTCATGGAAGGCACACATGGATCCTTCACCTAAACGACAAGAAATAGCGTAGGAAATAATTAACATCTGCATGTGGTACAAAGATTTGGGAAGGAAAGTAAATTTACTGGTTTTTTTTTTTTTTCCAGGTTAATTTTTTTTTCCCCCCTGCATTGAGCATAATCAGCACAACGATGAATCAACGCCCTGGGATCAGCAGAGACATGAGTGTGTGTGATGTGTTCAGCGGCCGAATTCCACACAGATGGTCGTGGCCAAGCCAAGGGGTTAAAATAATATTCCTATAATCCCAGTTTCTGCTGCGGATGAACACTGGAGTGCTCCACTACTGGCCCCCAACACAGCTCCTTTTACCTTGGAATGGTCTTGCACCCTCTCCCTTTAAGCTTCCATTGCAACATCACTGAAATTAATTTATTTTTTTTTTT